AAAAAAAAAAAAAAAAAAAAAAAAAAAGCTGGCTTGCCAGTCTGTGACTATATTGGAATGTGATGGAACTTTTAAAAGGTAGGGCCTTGTGGAAACAAGGAAAGCCATTGAGGATGTTGCTTTGGCAGGTATTTTATGATGAGGACATTCTACATTTTAGTGTTAGTTGTAGAATATTATTTTACGGTATGTGACTTTTGTTTATGTTGCATTTCTTTAACTCTGAAGCTGTGTTACTTTGTCTGTCTAAAACACCTGATAGTCTAATAAAGAACTGAACGGCCAATAGCAAGGTAGGAGAGGGAAATAGGCGGGGCTGGCAGGCAGAGAGGATAAATAGAAGGAGATACCGAGTGAAAGAAGAGAAGCAACTAGAGAAGGAGGAGGACATAAGGGGCCAGCCACCCAGCTACACAGCAAGCCGTGGAGTAGGGGTAAGATTTATAGAAGTAGGAGAATAAGAAAAACCCAGATTCAAAAGGTAGATGGGATCATTTAACTTAAGAAAAGCTGGTTAGAAACTAAGCCAAGCTAAGACTGGGTATTCATAAATAAGAATAAGCCTCCTTGTGTGATTTATTTTGTAGCTGGGTGGCGGGCCCGCCAAAAGATCAAAAACAACAACTGGTCTTACATTTTTATCATGATGTGCTGCCTTGCAAAGGCCCTGGAGAACAAGACCACACTAACCATCGATGGTAATCTCTAAAACCATGAGGTGAAAAGTCTTTCTCCTTTCTATTAGTTTTTTCTTAGATATGTTATCCCACGAACAATACCCCCCCCCATAGCCTACCATAGCCTACAAAAGGGGAATTAAAAAGATTGTTTCATTTCTAACCTTCTGTGTGCTATTTTTCATGTACCTCTTTTCATTTTCAATAGGGCAATATGGTGTATTGATGCTTAAGGCAGACTTCATATAAATCAAGGGCGAGGGTGTCAGTGATCTTTGCATGGTTTGAGCTGGTGGTTAAGCTTCTAGCTGCTCTATTACATACAGGGTGAAAGATGTTTCAGAGTACCAACTTAAAGATGT